GAATCAAAGCAGAAGCAATGGCAGCAAACTCGCAGTCGGTGGAGGTGGTGCCAGCAGGGGAGGAGGGGGTGAGGAAGGACTCAACCATCCTACCACATAAGTAACCTCCATATTCATGTCCCTGGCTGTGTTCCCTGATCACAAGCATGGCCCACGCAGCAGTGTCGTCAATCCCAGGAGTGAGCGATCCATCCGTGCAGTAGCATTCACACTGACTGCTGTCATGCCCCTGTCTCGTCCCACATCCCTGCAGCGCATCTTCCACCACTGTCGGCACATCGTGCACGTACTGAAAGAGGCGGAGGCGAGGAGCAGGGTGGGACATGGCGAGGCATTGACGGAGAGAGGGCACATGGGACATGTCAACCAATCTAATCTCCTCACCTCGGTTGTCACTAGCATTCAAGGGAGGCTCAGGAGGCCTCTCGAGTCCCAGCCCGTCTGGGGGCGGCGGAGGCGAGTGCAATGCTCTCTCCATGTATCCTCTCGCAGCTGGGGAGGCGGCCACGTCCAGGTCATGCCGTGAGACACTGCCACCACCCGCCACATTCGATGAAACACCAAACCTCGCCACACCCTCGCTCGGCAACGAATTCACACTCTGCGTCGCGCTGACGGATGTCGGCGCGTCCAAAGGGGGCCCTTTGCGTCCTAGGAAAGCAGATGTGTCGGGAGCAAGCGCCGATGGCGAGGGGGGCGGCAAAATTGCGAGATCGTCGGTAATCGCATCGGCAATCACAGAACCTGAGGACGAGAAGAATCCCGAGACCCGCGGAGAAAAATCACGCCCTGAAACGCTTTTGACAGAGGCAGGCAGCGCAGCAGGGCCACGCTCAGGCTCATGTGCCTCACCGAAGACGGCCTGGTAGAGGTTCAGCACGACCCTGCGCTGCGCCTCCAGGAGGGCCCCGACGAACTGGGCACCCCAAGCCGCTGGCCTTGAAGTGAGAGCGGTACACGTGGGACAGCTGGCCCACGAAGTTGAATGTGTCGATGCAGTCGAGGCACGCCGAAGGTGACGCTGAAAGCCATCAGGGTCTTGATCCCTAGCCCTGGGCGAAAGAGGTAGTAGTGGAGGGTGTCCATCAGCAGGTCGCGGATGCAGCTCATGAGTAGCAAGCTCATGCCCGTCTGCATGTAGTGGTCCGACCCCTGTAGCACCCGAGGTAGTATTAGAAGGTGATGTCCCAACAGCACCTTGCACGTCACAATGAACGTCAGCAGAGATGTGGATGACAGTGGTCTCGCCAAACGTGACCCTTTTGTCCAGCTTCACAGCGCGGGGTCGTGCGGCAGCGTGTTGCACTTGTGCGGCGGCGACTCCCCCGTGGGCTCCAGCATCGGATGCTTGATCCCCGCGGGCCGCACTGGGGAGGCCGGAGTGACAACGGCAGCCTCGCGCTGAGCTGGAGGGACGTTGGCCGCCGCAGCCGCCGAGGGCGGTGCCTTCGGCGCGGGCGGCATCACGCCCAGAGGCGCAGGAGGTGGCATGGCCGTGACGCTCTGAGTAGGGCCAGGCACCGTCTCCTGCGTGGTCATCTCCACGGGCTGCGTCGTCGCCAGGAGGCTGGGGTCCAGGGGCTGCACCTCCTCCATTGCTGCAGCACCAGCCGCGGCTGCCGTCCTCGCTGGCGCCGTCGCGCAGAGGCGCGCCGTGGCCTTGGCCTCCTGTGAGGCGATGCCCCCTGGCCCCCACATCTGTGTGGGTGAAGGGAACTCCTCGGCACTGGCTGTGGATGGGATGGGCTCTGCTTCCCTCGGCGCCCCAGGCTGCAGCGGGAGGCCCATGCCAGGGGCCAGCGGAGGCACCTTCGCAGCAAACGGGGCGGCGGCACCAGGGGTCGGATTCATCATGTTGAAGAGCCCGCACATCACCTGGCTGACACTCGCCTGGCCAAAGTCTGGTGTGGTGTGGCTCCACGGCGTAGTCGTTGCCAAGCCTCCTGAGCCTTTCGAAAAGCCCTTCGCACTCGAGCTGGGAGCCACCGCCACTGCCGCCGCCGTCGTGGGCGGCGCCTGAGTAAACCCCAGGACAGGCGCGGGCCCAAAGCCAGCAGGCGGCGCCGCAGCAGCAGCAGCAGATGCCTGGGCCTTCGCCAGTGGGGAGGCTGCAGGCGAGGGGCAAGCCTGGGGGGGCGGCCCGCCATCCGTCGGGATGGCTGGAGGGGCCTGCCCTGGCGGCGGCATCGGAGGGGCAGGGCAGGGAGCACCCTTGCCCTGCTGCGGCAGCAGCGCCTGGTGGAATGCGGCCGCCGTCTGGCCGATGCCCTTGCCGCCGACCATGTTCGTCATGAGCGCCTCCATCTGGTCCTGCCTGGAGAGCAGCATCTGCACTGCCGTGGCCAGGGTCTGCTGCTGGTCGGCCGTGTAGTAGACGTTGGGCGGCATCCCAGGGACAGGCGGCGGTACTGGGGGGCGCGGTTCCGTGGGCCACGGCCTGGGCGCGCCCGCGGTGGCCAGTGGCGGCGGCGGCGGCGGGACCGTCCCATGCTGGGCCGGGGTCGCCTGCATGCGCTGGTCCCGCTCCGCAGCCTCCTTGCTGGACGCGTCCTGGATGGCCTGCTCCAAGTTCTGGATCATCTCGCGATGATCCGAGATCTTGTCCTCCAGCTCGTCGGCTACATCCTCGAGCTGCTGAATCTTCTGCCTCGTCTCCTTGAGCTGATTCTCGTACTCCATGGAGCGCGTGCGAGCGTCCGCCAGCTGGTGGCCCAGCGGCTTGAGCGTGCTCAGCGCATACAGGATCATGCCGATCTCGGCGCGCTCGGCCTCGTCCGACTTGGCGGCCTGGGCGTTGGCTACCGCCAGCTTGGCCAGCGTGTTGATGCGCTCCCTGGCGGACTTGCGGAACTGCGGCAGCTGATCCTCGTTCGTCGGCGGCTCCCACTTGTGCCAATCCTCGTGGGCCATGGCCTCGAAGGACAGCGACGGTGGCACCTTCTGGGCAAGGGCGGCCGCCTTGCGATCGTTGGCCTGGACGGCACGATCCGTGGGGCGGCCATGAGCGCTCTGAGAGCGCGCGCGACGATTGGCATAGCCCGAGCCACAACGGCAGTGCCAATGCCAGGGCTGCACGCGTTTGCCACAATCGCCACATGTCCACTTGCCTCGGGCGCCAGAAGCCATGTCCTGCTGCTGGGCACTGTGGTGAGCCTGCAGTCGCCGTCGTGCTGCCT